CCAGCCAGCATGCTTTGAGAAGGAGAGATTTCCACTCCCAGAATTCCATACCAGCATACTTTTAAGATGGATGGACTTCCACACCCACAATTCCCTTGACAGCATGGCTTGAGAAGGGTGGGCTTCCACTCCCAGAATCCCCCAGCCAGCATGCTTTAAGAGGGGGGGACTTCCACTCCCAGAATCCCCCAGCCAGCCTGCTTAAAGAGGGGAGGACTTCCACTCCCAGAATCCCCCAGCCAGCATCCTTTAAGAGGGGTGGACTTCCACTCCCAGAATCCCCCAGCCAGCCTGCTTAAAGAGGGGAGGACTTCCACTCCCAGAATCCCCCAGCCAGGATGCTTTAAGAGGGGAGGACTTCCACTCCCAGAATCCCCCAGCCAGGATGCTGTGAGAGGGGAGGACTTCCACTCCCAGAATTCCTCAGACAGGATGCTTAAAGAGGGGAGGACTTCCACTCCCAGAATTCCCTTGACAGCATGGCTTGAGAAGGGTGAACTTCAATTCCCAGAATCCCCCAGCCACCCATGTCTTCAGATGGATGAGCTTCAAGATGCCAAGGTTGAGAAACACACCAACATGGATACAGTGCCAACTTTCTTCTCCTTCAGAGGCTTCGTTTGCTGTGACACCCTCAGCTTTAGCCACCTTTAAACAATCCTTTCGACGGGTCGACTCACTTCCCGCATTGTTTGTACGCTGGGTGGAAGAAATGGAAGAGATTCATTTCCTCACTCAAAAATGGGCAGGGGTCCGCGGAGAGGAAGAGGGGTGAAGCGGGGGCAGAAACACCAAATTTACTCTTGGCTCGGAGTAACTTCTTGAAATCCCAGTCATGAAAACCACTTGCAACCAGGAGTGTGTGTGATTTTTTTTTTTAAAAAAAGAGTCTCCTGCTTGCCCTGTTTGGACAGCCTCTGGGTACCCCCCCTCCTCCCCCCAGCACCACCCTCAAAGCCAAATCTTCCCCCTCCCCCACACCCCACCCAACCCCGTTGCTTGCAAAAAACAAAAACAAAAAAAAAGCACCTGGAAAGCTGTTTGGACAGAGACATCATTCTGGGGTTAAAACAAGGCACCGTGGGGAAAATTACGGTCGGCCCGCCCCGTAGGAGTGGCGCGGTGGCGGACCGAGCCGGCCATTTTTAAATAGCGTCTACTATGAGGGGTGAGGAAAGACTTTCTCCTTGCCCCGGCTCGGCTTTAGATAGGTTCAGGCTTCAGTTTGTCGGCCAGAAAGTCATTCACGAAAGTTTCCACGATCGGTGGCGTGATCTCTTCGACATCCATGACGTATTTGGCACGGGCGGACATGTCCAAGATGGTGAGGAGAGGGGCGGCTTCTGGCAGGTTGGTGTAATCCCGAAGAGAGTCGGTCATGTCATCCTGGATAGGGGGAAAAAAAATCGAGGAAAAACAAGGGGAAAGAAAAGGGAATAAATCTCATTAAAATTGGTTTAGGCCAGGCTCCGACTTCAAAAGTTGACGTTCAGATTTATTGCTCAAGGTTATTATAGGCCGGCCACAATCGAGCCCAAATTCCTGTTGCTAAAAGGCACATCGAAGAATGTTCTTTCTGTGCCAACTTAGAAAGCTCAAACTGCCCAAAAGGAGCTGCTGATCCAGTTCTACGGAGGAATGATGGTGTCTGTCATCTGCACCTCTATAATTGTCTGGTTTGGTTCTGCAACCCAACAGGACAGACACAGACGCCGGAGGATAATTAGGACTGCAGAAAAGAAATCATGGCTACCAACCTGCCTTCCATGGAGGACCTGTATCCTGCACGAGTCAAAAAGAGGGCTGTGGAAATATCTACAGGCCCTTCACATCCTGGACATAAACTGTTTCAACTCCTACCCTCAAAACGACGCTATAGAGCACTGCACGCCAGAACAACTAGACACAAGGACAGATTTTCCCCGAATCGCCATCACTCTGCTAAACAAAAAATAATTCCCTCAACACTGTCCAACTATTTACAAAGTCTGCACTATTATTACTATTAATCTCATCCCTCCTTATCACCCATCCCCTCCCACTTGTGACTGTATGACTGTAACTTTGTCGCTTGTATCCTTACGATTTATATTGACTGTTTCCTACTTTGATTTGTTTGCTTATTGTACCCCATGACTATCATTAAGTGTTGCACATTATGATTGACTCTTGATGAATGTCTCTTTTCTTTCTATGCACAGTGAGAGCATTTGCACCAAGACAAATTCCTTGTGTGTCCAATCACACTTGGCCGATAAAAGAATTCTATTCTATTCCTATTCCATTCTATTATTTCTATTTCTATTCTTTCTTCTATTCTATTCTATTCTTTCTCTTTCTATTCTTTATTCTATTCTATTTTTTCTATTCTTTATTCTATTCTATTCTTTCTATTTCTATTCTTTATTCTATTCTATTCTTTCTATTTCTATTCTTTATTCTATTCTATTCTTTCTATTCTTTATTTTATTCTTTCTATTCTTTATTCTATTTTTTCTTTTCGTTATTCTATTCTATTATTTCTATTCTTTATTCTATTATTTCTATTTCTATTTCTATTCTTTATTCTATTCTATTGTTTTCTATTCTTTATTCTATTCTTTCTTTCTATTTTTTATTCTGATCTTTCTATTCTTTATTCTATTCTATTATTTCTATTTCTATTCTTTATTCTATTCTATTTTTTCTATTTCTATTCTCTATTCTATTCTATTCAAGCAAGAAAGTTGTTAAATGAGTTTTGCCCCATTTTGTGAGCTTTCTTGCCATGGTTGTTAAGTGAAACACTGCCATTGTTTGTTAGGAACACAGTTGTTAAGTGAATCGGGCTTCCCCATTGACTTTGCTTGTAAGAAGGTCGCAAAAGGGGATCACGTGACCTCCCCAGGACACGGCAACCGTTGTAAATGTGAGTCAGTTGTCAGGCATCCAAACGTAAATCACGGAACCGTGGGGACGCTGCAGCAGTCGTAAGTGTGAAAACGGTCATAAGTCACTTTTTTCCCGTGCCATGATAACTTTGAAGTAACTAAGTGAACGGTTTTAAGTCATGGACTTCCTGTACGGTTAGTCCTTGATTTAAAACCATTCATTTAGTGACCGTGAGAAGTTACAACAGCACTGAAAATGTGACGTACGGCGGTGTTTCACTTATGATCACTGCAGCACCCACATGGTCACGTGACTGAAATTCAGATGTTTGACAGCTGACTCACATTTACGACGGTCGCCATGTCCTGGGGGAGGTCATGTGATCCTTTTTTGCAACCAGCAATGTCGATGGGAAAGCCAGAGTCACTTAACAACTGTGTTCCTAACTTAACAACGGCAGTGTCTCACTTAACAACCATACCAAGAAAGCTCACAAAATGGAGCAAAACTCACTGAACAACTGTCTCGCTTAGCAACAGGAATTTGGGGCTCCACTACGGTTGTAAATTGAAGACTAACTATAACTTCAGATGTATTTTTCTAACCCAAAGCCAGTCTATTTTTTTCAAGAGTGCCGAAAACTTGAGGATTTGAACAGGACATAAAACTCATCCAGATATACTGTATATATATATATCTATCTCTATCTATTATCTATCTACCTATCTACCTCTCTCTCATCTCTCAATCATTTCTCTCATCTATCTATATCTATCTCTCTCATCTGTCATCTATCTGTACATCTATATCTATCATCTACAGCTCTCTCTCATCTATTTCTATCATCTCTATCATTTATCTATCATCTAATCTATCTACATCTATCTCTATCATCTCTCATCTATTTCTCTCTCACCTATCTACATCTCTCATCTATCAATCATCTCTCTCTCATCTATTATCTATCTATCTCTACATCTCTCTCGATCATCTATCATCTCTCTCTCATCTGTCTATCAATCATCTCTCTCATCTATTATCTATCTCTATCATCTATCATCTATCAATCATCTCTCTCCCATCTATTATCTATCTCTA